GAATTATAAAACCTCAGCGTGGAAGAGGAAATGGAATATCCCTTTTTTCCTGAAGCTATTTCCCTTTTTCAAATTGTTTCCTCCAAATTTTTCTTAACTTTTACGGAGGAGTGTGACCTGACATAATTTCCACGACGTCGCATCTTTTCTTAGTGTGACTGCCTGTCGGCAGCAGTCCCCTTCTCAGTGCCCACTTCTGCAGGCCCCGGGCCTTCACCTTCAGCACACGCACCCCCGGCTCTCTTTCCCGGCCCCAATCTTAGGAGTCTACAGAACTCGGGCTGATACAGGACCGCTCGATTGATCAGTCAACAATCAGCCAATAAAGCCTGTGCCGACACCATCTCAGCCTAGTGGCAGCCCCTTTACAGATTGCTGGCACATCCACAGATGTTTGAGTGGTCCAGCCGTGGGCAGGCAAGAGGGCAAACGAGAGGGCTCCGTGATGTCGCCCGGCCAGTTCTCCCTGGCAAGTCTGGCAGCTGTTTCCAGGTCACTGGCTGAGAGCTACTGGTTTCCTGAAGGTGTCTGTCCGTGCCCAGAGCTCACATGGGATGGCCCAACGTCAGCGATTCCCCTTTCCTCCGGGCAGGAGAAGCAGGCTTCCTAAAGGGTTCCAAGTGCGAGAGACGGCTCCGGAGGCCCTGCTGGAGCCCGGGTCCTGCTCCCACCTCCGTGCCTCCCCCTCGGGACACTTCTCTGCAGCCCAACTCCTCTCGGGCTGCGCAGGCCGCCTCTGGAGCTCGTCTTCTCCACTTGAGCCTCCTGCGCTGCTCAGCTTGTAGCTGCCATGATTGCTCGACAAATTCTCCCTATTTGTTGATGGATGTCACATGTGTGCTTTCCTGATAGGACTGCACATGGCACGAGTCCCTAACAGTGAGAGAGTAAGGCTGTAGGTATTCTTTCCCTAAGGGCTAGAGCAGTTCCCCTTTCCTTTTCTTTTCCATTCCTTTTTAGGGTCCTGAGTATTATTTTCTAAGCTTTTGCTTTAGGGAAGCCATACAGGCTCTATGTCGAACCTTCCCTGTGCTGATGATAACACTGAGAACATCTATATTTTTTAGCAGCTGATGCTGGTTCTCAGAGGGGCACCACCTTTGCTGGGAAAGGCCCTGGAGAGCTTCCTGTGTTTGCTAGGGGAGCAGGTGGGTCCTGGGGAGAGGGCTGAGCGGGGGAGGTACTCAGACATTAAATGGATGAGGGTGGGGGCGCAAAGGGCGCAGAGGCCGTGTGTGTGTGGGGGGGGTTCCTGAGCTGGCTGTGGGCCACGTGCTACAAAGGCTCCCTCCCTTCTATGCCCAACAGAATCCGGAACAAAGTCTACATCGGCCCACGTGCTTTTGTGCAAATGATGTTTTGGGGACACAAACAGGACCTCAGGATGATAGTGGGTGTTTTGGCTACATTTTCCCTTCACCAACTGCCCAGACCTCTCTGAGTTCACAGTTCCTTTTTATTACCTTTGCAACCCAAACAAGTGCTTAATGCAATGACCTTTTTCCTCTCTCCCCACGTTAACAGATCTCCCTTTCATCCTGATGAGCTGTAAACTCCTTCCCTCCCTCCCTCCACCCATCCCTCCCTCCCCCC